TTCTCAAACGTTTCCTTAATTACTCGTACTATGTGGTGTACTTGTTCTATTGTGTTGTGTTTTTCTCTAAATCCAAATTGGTGGTTAGGTATTATTCTTTTCTTATTTATATATGGCATTAGTTGTTTTATAAAAAGTTTTTCAAATAATTTTGAGAGAATTGGAAGCAGACTTATGGGTCTATATGAGGTGACTTGAGCGAGGTCCTTTCCGGGCTTGGGTATCATCATGATTTTGGATAGCTTCCAGTCGTTTGGAAAATATGCAGTCCTTAAAATAGCGTTATAAATAAAAAGTAGTTGGTCTTTGGCGATTTGTGGGATCTCTTTCAGCATTTTCGCTGTAATTAGGTCGTAGCCTGGGGCTTTTTTGGTATTTAAATTTTTGATTTCGCTTTTTAGTGGTTTTTTACTGAAGCAAATTGTCATATTGTCGTTTCGTGTGGAGTAAGGCAGAGAGTCAAGTTTTATTAAAGTAGAGATTGGGGTAAATACATATTTAAGGTGATTTGCAAAAGCAGTACCCTTTTCCTCATCGCTTTTAGCCCAGTTTCCATCTGTAAGTCGGAGGGGTGCTCTGTGTATAACGGGCTTTTTCTTGAGTTTAGTGGCTTTCCAAAGGGAGTAGTTTGTTGTTTGCGTTGGAGACAACTGTGAAATAAAATTTTCGTATTCTATGCGATTTTTTTCTTTGAGTAATCTCTGAAGTGCCTTCGTCAGATTCTTGAGTTGTTTTTTAATACGGGGGGATCGTTGTTGTTGCCATTGGCGTCGTACTTGTCGTTTCTCCTGTATAAGGGTTGCAATTTCGTTCGATGTATGGTAGTTTATAGGTTTGTGGGGTATTGGGAGTGGGGTTGATATTCGAGCGGCTTGTTGAAGTAAAGCTGTGAAGTCCTGGACTGCCTTGTCAATTTCAATATTTGATTTTAAGGAAGTGTCTGTGTTAATATGTGAGCTAACATATTTTTTAAATTTTAGCCAATTTGTGTGCTGGTTTGTGAGCTTTTCTTCAGATTTTGGATTGACTATTGTTGTGTTTCTAATCAGAATAAAAGTCGGCGTGTGATCAGAGGAGAGTTCTAAGGATGCCTCGGTAGCAATTTGATCTCTTTTTAAATTCTTTGTTACCGCAAAATCAATGACGTCTGGAGTTTTTTTCCGATCTGAAGGCCAGTATGTTGGTGTGCCAGTGGAGGATATGTTAAGGTCGAGTTTTGATATCACGTTCATCAGGGATTTTCCTTTTGGTGATATAAGTCTTGAGCCCCAGAATGTGTGTTTGGCATTGAAGTCGCCGGCCGCTATGAACTTGGGTCCAAGCTTTGTAAAATATTCTTCGAATTGAAGTTCCGTTATTTTATACCTTGGTGGACAATAGATTGAGGTTATAGTCAGACCTTTTATGTATTCTTCTAGACATATGCTTGTCGCCTGCATATATTCTGCTTCAAGGGTTTGAGTTGGAAAGTGTTTAATGTGGTTTTTTATGAGGACGGCAGATCCGCCTCTTGCTCGTCCACTGGGGTGTTTCGAATCGTAGAGTATGTAACCAGGTATCTTAAAGTAGCTTTTCTCGTTAAAATGGGTTTCTGAGATCAGCATGACGTCAATTTGATGTGATTGTAAAAACAATACAAGTTCGTTTTTATGTTGGCTTAAGCCGTTAGCATTCCAGAAGCAAATTTTGATTGCATTCATGGTTTGGATAGGATTGAAAGTAGGATATTTTGATTTTGAATCATTCCCTGCATCATATTTTGCATGGTGTTCATAAATTGTGTCATATATTCCATAAACAGTTGGATCATGTTTTCAATATTTGAAGATGGTTTAGTAGAGTTTTCATTTTGGACGTTGCTTGGGCCAGTGAATCCTCTAACAGCGTTTGCATATGATATTTGTGTACACGTATTGTTGGAGTCAGATGGAGCATTTGGCTGAGATCGCATTTGAGTAGGGTGTGGTGGGATTACTGACTGAGAGCGGGGACGCAATGCTGGAAACATTCTTTGTTTTTCGGTAGTGTATACTACACATCCTTTATAATTAGCGGTGTGGTTGCCTCCACAATTTCCGCATTTTTTTGTTGTTGGGTCCTTCTTATTTGATGTGCAATCCTTAGTGCGGTGAAAGTCGCCACATGCAACACAAACACTACGG